TAGCATTTCCATTTTACTCGTTTACAGTTTCCATCTCTTTGCTGAAACTCTCCATCTATCCATGCATATTGTCCACCTTTACCCCAAGATCTTTTAACAAATTAATCATGGTTACATTACAGTCCTAATGTGATAGTTTCCAGATGAAGCCATCTCAGAGTCTAACTCTGTTGATTGCTTTATTACTCAAAAGTTGCCTTTTTTCCTTAGCTTTTTTTGGTGTGTCTTGTAATTTTTTGTCATATGCTGGACATTATGAATAGAAGAACAGTAAAGATTGCACTAAAGATTATTCATATTTTGAAATGAGCATCCCTCTTCTTTCATCAGTGCATCATGTGGGCAATTGAGTCTACCTAGTCAGAAGTTGAACTGGATTGGGCTTTGTTACTGCTATCTTTACCTTCAGTGCATCACAGGCTTTACATTCCTCCAGTGATGCACTGCCATGACCTTATGCTTTGAGTGGGGTCTGGGGTGCCAAAGAGTTTTCTCAGTGTTTCTAACCCATTCTCAGCTTTCAGCAGTCACTGCATGCCTGTGCCACAGAGGGGATCTCTCTATACACTTAATCTGACCCTCGTGGCCAGCTGCTGTTTCTTGTTACATAATATCAGGTTTTTGGTGGAAGTAGGCAAATGTTCTATTGCCCTAGTCTGCCCTCAGTCTTAGGCAGGCTCTGCAACCTAGGCTTTGAAGGTAGTGATTTCTCAGCATTTTTAACCCTCCTTCCCATGGCACTTGTATCTGTGATAGGTCTTCAGTGGAAGAGTAGTAGGCTTTTTCTTTGTGTCAGTTCAGGATCCTGGACACAAGAAGATTTCCTGTTCTTCCTCCAGGGGAATAATATTTTTGCCTTTACCACTCCCTGAGAAGCAATGGATCTTTACCCACAGTCCTAGATACAGAACTATTTCCTGCCTCAATCCCCAGAAACTTGAGGCTTTGGCTTTGCATGAGCAAATGGTCTGGGGAAATGTGCAAGGGTTTCATTTCTGTCCCACACTGACAGCCAGTCACCATCTACAGCCTGCACCACTGAATGCATCTCCTTCTGGTTGGTCTCCTGCCCTATTGTTCACCCATGATCACCCAGTAGAGATTCATAAAAAAGAGCTTGCCCATGAGTGCAATTTCCAATTATTAGCATTCTGACCTGTTTATTTTTTCCCTGAGTTTTAAGTTAAATATTTCTAACAAATGTTAGGTCATTAAGGTTCTATGAATCTATTGTTTTTTTATTTTCCCATGTCTATCTGAATGTCAACATGGAAAAGAAAGCAGTGGTAATTCCCAGAGACTACTGTACTGTTCGTGTCAAAAAATTACTTTACATATTTCTCAGTTCCGGTCATTAGTCAGCTTTATCATTACCACTGTTCGTGTCAAAAAATTACTTTACATATTTCTCAGTTCCGGTCATTAGTCAGCTTTATCTCTTCTATTTTAATTTCAGCACCACCTGAGCAAACCCCTGTGGTCCAGGACTGCTACCAGGGTGACGGACAGAGTTATCGAGGCACATCGTCCACCACTATCACAGGAAAGAAATGTCAATCTTGGTCATCTATGACACCACACCGACATCAGAAGACACCGGAAAACTACCCAAATGCGTATGTCTTTGATTTTAATGATAAGAGGAGCAACAAGCAACTTAAATTTCTGTTAGAGGAGCCATGATTTAAGCTAACTTCTTAGGACTTCTTTGCTTTTGAGCAAAGGGTCTGAGGGAAGAGGAGTTATAGGCTGATTGTCTTCCTGAGTACTTGTGTGGAAGCAGCAGGTGTATCGAGGTGGTGAGGTCACACTAGTGGAAAGTTCAGAAGAACAAATGACCAAAATCTTAGAAAGAGTACCGTTCCACAACACACAGTAAACGTCAATGTGATCTCTGTCATTCCAACCTCTAATCCCTGAAATGAAGTTTGTATTTGCCATTTATGTCTTGGATTTAAAAAGTTGTGCAATATATTTATATATTTATATATTTATAAATACATAAATTATATTTATGTAATATATTCATAAATATATAAAATATAAATGTAAATATTTATATTACGTAAATACATATATATATTTTTATATTTTATTTTACATATATATAAAATTTGACCTGCACAGACACACTGGGTCCTGAGCTATAGTGGTCTGAAGGGCTATGGGTTTCCAGAACATAAAGAGCAAATGCAGGAAAGCAGATGAAAGTAAGCAAGTGTATAAATGCTGAAAGGTAAAGTGGACAGGTAGATGGACAAAAGACTGGGTCTGGCCAGACCAGCCTTTCTGCCAAAAGTGACTATGACATATATGGAAAACTTTTCTCATGATGTACAATAGGCAGCACAGGACTGAGACCTTTTAGAAAGAAAAACATATGAGATACGCCCTGTAATTACCCTGGTTTTCTTCCTGGAGACACTCCCTGGACTGAAGTGCAAGGAGATAGAGCCAAAGCAGACCATGGCAGAATTGCTGAAGCGAGGAGAGAGACTGGAGTTTGGGATTGCTGAAGCAACTGAGACTTTCTAAGTTGGGCAATAATGAGAAAGAAAATGTGCACAGAAGACTTCTTCAGGAATATGCAGAGGGCCCCTCAAGTCTTTGGCTGAATATCAAGCTGCACACGAGCAGGGAGAGATTCCACAAAGAAAGTAGGACAAGAAACTCCTGGGGAAAAACAACTGCAAGGGAGTGGTGAGCTAAATAAAGATAACAGAACTCATGCAGCTCTGGGAGGTATCTGAGTTCTGACTAGCCAGAGAGGAGAGATCATTGAACATCTTGAGCATTCAGTAGAGACCCAGAAAAGCCATACTTTAGGAGTAGGGTTGATGTATTCCTAGAAACACCCTAGCAAAGCCTAAATGCTTAAAAATATCAAAATGATTTTCAAGTAAATTGACTGCCTGCCAGAAGAAAACTCAACACTCTTTAGAGGTAAACAACAAAATCAAGTTGTTCAGTAATGTGGCATTCACAATACTGGGCATAAATTAAAAAGTTTACTAGACATACAAAAAGTATTAAGTGTGATCCATAACCAGGGTAAAAATCAATCAATACAGACAGACCCAGAAATAATAGAAATAATAAAATTGGCAAAAAAAACCCCTTAAAAATATATTGTAAATATGTTTAAGGATCCGAGGAAAATATGAACATAAATGAAACTAATAATATCAAAAAAACCCTTAAAAATGTATTGTAAATATGTTTAAGGATCCGAGGAAAATATGAACATAAATGAAACTAATAATATCAAGAGAAAGGAAAATTATGAAAAAGCCAAATGGAAAGTAAAAAGCTAAAAAATATACATATCTTGAATAAAAAACTCACCAGATGGTCTTAGACCATCAGTTTAGACATTACAGAAGAAAAAGTTAACTAGAAAATAATGCAATACAAAGTGTACAAACTGCAGTGCAGTGGTAAAACAAAGGACTATAAAAAACACAGAGACTCAAGGACCTCTACGAAAATATCAAAAGATCCAATATACTTGTAAAGCAAGTTCCAGAAAGAGAAGAGAGATATTGGGACAAAAAAAAATACATGAAGCAATGATAACTAAAAATTTTCCAAATGTGAAGAAAATTATAAACTCACAGAGAAGCTCAATGAATCAGAAGTAAAATTTTAAAAAGTAAAACTGTATGATATACTTAGGTACATCATAATTAAATTGTCAAAAACTGAAGACAAAGAAAAATTTCATAAGAAACCAGAGGAAAAAAATACATTGATATAGACTGACAATAATAAAAATGACTGATGCCTTCTCGTCAGAAACTATGCAAGCCAGAAACAATGGAATAATATCTTTAAAGTGATAAAAAGAAAAAAAAACCCACTATCAACTTCGATCTCTATATCCAACAAAACATACTTTGAAAATAAATGTTAAATAAAGACATATTCTGCACCACCACACAAAAGAAAAACAAGCAAAAAACTGGAAGAATTTTTCACGAGCAGGCCTATACTATGAAAGATGTTAAAGAAAGCTATTTATGCAGAAGAAAAATAATACCAGATGAAAACCTGAGTCTATGCTAAGTAATGAAGAAGACTGGAAATGGTAAATTTGAATGTAAATGTACAAGACATTAATTTATCTAATTTCTTAATTTCTTTAAAAGGTAATTGACTACTTGCAGCAAAATAATAATAATCTATTGTTATTTTAACATATGAAAAAGTAACATTATAAAAACAGTCAAATAAATAATGTGGGGAATTAATGAAAATATACTGTTGTAAGTTTCTTAAATTATTCATGAATTTATGTAACATTAATACATTATTGAACATGATGGGTTAAAAAGGGATATTGTAAATTCTAGAGCAATCACAAAAATTTACACTTAGAGAAATAGACAATAATAAAAATATTCAATTAATCCAAGAAAAGGAATAAAAAAGAATAAAGAAGATATGGTACAAACAAAATACATAGCATTATTGTAGACTTAAACTAAATCACATCATAAATATATTAAATTTAAGAATTAAACACTTCAATTAAAAGGCAGAGATTGTCAAACTGATTAAAAATAGAAATCCAATTATGTTCTCTTTACAGTAGATGCTCTTTAAATGTAAATACATAGGTTAAAAACCAAAGTATGGAAGATGATATATCATGAAGACAAAAGTCAAAGGAAAGCTGGAATGGTTATGCTAATGTCAGACAAACTAGATTTCAGGACAAGAAATAATACCAGAGATAAAAAGGACATTTCATAATTAAAAATAACAATAACATAACAAGGACATAACAATGCTAAATATGTTGCACTCTAATGACAGAACTTCAGATATAGGAAGCAAAATATGACAGAACTAAATAGAGAAGTAGATAAGCCCACAGTTATAGTTAAAGATTTTCTCACCTCTCAGAACAGTTATAAATCCTCTTGAAACAAAGTATAATAGAACAAGTAGGCAAAAAATCAGAAAGGATATAGAAGTTTTAAAGGAAAATATCAATATGTTTAACACTATGTCCAACTACAGAATAACATTCAAGTGCACACGGAACATTCACCAAGGTGTATTATATACTCGGCCTTAAAAAAAAGTCTCAATACATTAGAAAGGATTAGAATAATACAGAGTATGTTTTCTGACCACAACAAAATTAAATGAGACATACATAAACAATTTGGGAAATTCCCATATATTTGGAAATTAAACAACACATTTCTAAATAATCCATGAGTCAAAGATGAAATTACAATGGAATTTAGAAATATTTTCAACTGAATAATGATAAAATCACAATAGATCAAAACTTTTGGGATGCAGCTAATTATTTAGGGTTTCGTAACTTTAAATTATTTTATTAGAAAATAGAAACATTTAAAAATCAGTAATTTAAAACAGCAGTTTCAAAGTGTGGTATGGAGAAACTTGGGGATTCTTGAGATCCCTTCAGAAAGTCTATGAGGTTAAGACACTTTCAACTTTTTAAAAATAATTTTATTTGCCCCTTTCACTTTCATTTTCTCATAAGAGTACAGTGGAGTCTTCCACAGGCTGCATAATGTGTGATGACATCATTTCTCTGATGGCTAGCAGAATGTGTGACTGTGTAGTCTTGTTTTTTAAAATTCTCAGTTTTAGTTTCTAATGAATTAAATATTCACAGGATATAACACAAAAACTAAAGCTCTTTGTGATCCTTAATACTCTTAAGAGTGTAAAGAGGGGGCTGAGCCCGTGGCGCATTCGGGAGAGTGTGGTGCTGGGAGCGCAGCCACGCTCCCGCCGTGGGTTCAGATCCTATATAGGGATGACCGGTGCGCTCACAGCGCTCACTGGCTGAGCATGGTGTGGCTGGTCTCAAAAAAGGACAAAAAAATAAAAATAAAAAATAAAAAAACAAAGAGTGTAAAGAGGTCCTGCAAACAAAAACTTTGAGAACTGTTGATCCAAGATAACAACTTAAGAATCTAGAAAAGGAAAAGCAAATAAAAACCAAGGTAATCAGAAGGAAGGAAATAATAAAAATAAATGGAAATCAATGTAAAAGGAAATAGACAAACAATTGAGTAAATCAATGAAACAAAGTCAGTTCTTTGAAAAAATTAATATAATTGATAAACCTTTGGCTAACCTAATCACACAGAGACCACAATCATCAACATCAGGAATAAAAGAGGAAAGGAGGCATCACTACAAATCCTATAGATATTAAAAGATAATAAGAAAATGTCAAGAACAACTTTATGTTAATAAATTCAATCACTTAGATAATATGAAATAATTTCTTAGAGAAAAACAAGCAAATCAGATGCTGAGTAAATTGAATTTCTAAACAGTCTGATATCTTAAAGAAAATATATGATACATTAATACATATATTAATACATACATCACTGATACATTAATACATATTAAAAATTTAAAAACTCCCACAGAGAAAACTCCAGGCTCAGATGGCTTCACTGGTAAATTTTATCAGGCATTTAATGAGGAAATAATACCTTCACAATCTCCTAAAGAAAATAGAGGAGGAGGAACACTTCTTAACTTAATACGTGAGGACAGAAATACTCAGATACAAAGATATCCTATGTTCTTGGTTTGGAAGAATTAACATCAT